TATTGGAAGGTGAAAGAATCCTGAGGTGGGGCTGGAGTGACAAGAGAGTATTCCGGGGGCATATTCCCAGGGACTGTATCTGTTCCTAGGACCCTGGCTCTCTGGGCCTTTTCATTTTTCTTTCTTCTCAGCTGATGTTAAGAAACTGAAAACTTGGTGGGCTTGGAATACAGCAGGAAGATTAGTACAGCACACTTCTGGATATGTCCAGGAGGCCCTGGAAAGACAAATCTTGAGGTCTATGTCTGGCCCCATGGTCCTTTCCTCTCCGGTGCTGTTTCCCTACTCCACTTTCTGGCCAAGACACCCTTCCTCCATAATGCTTCTGCCTTGGAGTCAACCAAATATGGACTAAAGCTGTGAGCTGAATAAACCATTTCCTCCTTTAACTTGTGAATGTTGGGTATTTGGTCCCAGCATTGTAAGAGCTGACTGACCCAGAAAACTGGTTACCAGAGAAGTGGGTCCTTGCTGTGACTTTATCTGGCCATGTGGATTAGAATATTTTGGAACCTGGTTTGCAAGAAAAGTTTGGAAAGGCCTGAAGATGCAAGGTAGAGAAGCCCCATGATGCTCTAAGGAGAGCTTAATGGATGATTCTAGTCAGAGCGAGGAAGTCCAAAAGCTGATGAGAATTCAGACAGTATAGGCCAGGCTGGGGTCCACATCTGTCCCTTAGCCCTTGCTGAGGGTATTTCAGTTGGGATCATGCTCTAGAAAGAGTTATTATCCAATTATGCAGTGAATCTTAGGGAAGAGTATGAACCTTGTAAAGAAATTGTGTGGCGATATGAAATTTAAATTAATTTATGATTAAGTTTCATTGATAATTTAAATGCAATGGAAAAATCATATGGAAGAAAGACAAAGGAGGACTCCAAAATTAATCTCCATCTGAAAAAACAATTGTGCATAAATTCTTTGAGGAAGGAATATAAGAATAAAACAGATAATATTAATCATATAACAAATATATTATAGATAACAGTTCTAAATAAAAGATACATATTTGGTAAGTATTATGGAATAAAACATGAACAGAATTATAAATATTCAGTTAAGAAAAATGTATTGAAAAATTTTGTGTAACAGATAATAATCAACAACTAAAAAATTACAATCTCATTTCTACAATTAGTCAGATTCTTTATAAAACCAATTCTTTACACAGCTCATAATATGTTCTCAAAAGTGTTAATATAGGGCCAGTGATTTAGCTCAGTGGTTCCACCGCCTGCCTCACAACAGCAAGGTCCCGAGTTCAATCCCCAGTACGAAAAAAAAAAAAAAAAAGTGTTAACATAATTAGCCCATATGTTTTTATTAGTTTTTAAAAATTAAAACAAAACTTTTAGTTTTCACCAAAATTCTTATACAAAAAAAATGAAAAAGAATGCATATTTTACTAAATGATCAATTTTTCAATGTTAGCATCATTTATATGTGAAATTAAGTAGTTAAAATACAGTATTTCTTTAGAGTACATGTGTTCCACTTAAAATTTGAAATCACAACAAAAAATATTAGCTCATATATGAAAACAAAATTTGTTTAAAGTATGAACTCTTTGATGTTCAGATGACACGGCCCAAAAGTGAATACTTGGAGATAAAGGTATTCAATTACATTTGACAAAAAAACTTAGTAAGCTGAGAAGTTATCAAAATAACTTTAGAATTAAAAATACCACCAAATCATTATATTTAAATAGTTTACATTTGTTATAATTTATTTTCAACATTTAAAGAAATCAGAATAATTATTTTGCAATGGAACCAAAATTGATTGGCAGACAGCACAGCATGGTGTTGTGTGACCATATAAAAAGGATGAGACTGAACTTGGCTAGAAAAATGTGGGTGCTGGAGAAAAATGACATCTGAAAGAAAACTCAATTAAGGTTAAGAAAAGGAAGTAAATGAACTTTACAATAAAAAGCATCATACTATGATAAAAGAGACTGACAAGGACATTATAAAATGGTAGAACCAATATTGTCAAAATGGCTCTACTACCAAAAATAATGTATAGATTAGAAGCAATTCCAATTAAAATACCAATACCATTCTTCACAGAATCATAAGATAAATCCTAAAATTCATTTGGAACCACAAGAGACACAGAACAGTCAAAGCAATTGTGAGCAAAAAGAACAAAGCAAAAGGCATTAGAATAATGGATTTCAAAATATACTACAAAGCTACAATAATAAAAACAGAATATTAATGGCACCAAATAGACATGTTGACCACTAAAGTACAATAGTGGACACAGAAATAACCCCATGCACCCCAATAACCTGGTTTTGACAAAGGGGACAGAAACATCAACTGGAGAAGAGATATCCTTTCTAATGAATGGTGCTGGGAACACTGGTTATCCTCCCACAGAAGAATGAATATAGATTCATATCTCTCACTTTGTACTAAAATGCAATGACAATGGATCAAAGACCTAGATATAAACACAGAAATACTGAATCTGCTAGAAGATAAAATAGGTAAATTTCTTGAAGATATAGGGATTAGGCAAGAAATTTCTGAACAAAACTCCAGTTGCACAAGAAGTAATGCCAAGAATCAACAAATGGGATTATATAATACTAAAAAACTTCTCAACAGCAAAAGAAACAATAAGCTCATTGGAGAGACAACCTCTAGAATGGGAATAAAATTTTGCCTGCTACTCCTTAAAGAGAGGACTAATATCTAGAAAATACAGGCTCAAAGAATTAGACTTTCCAAAATGGAGGAACTAATCAAAAAGTGGGCAAATGACATGTATAAACACTTTTCAAGAGCCAATGAGTGCAGGAAGAAATGTTCAGCATCTTTGGCCTTTAGAGAAACAAATAAGAACAACACTGAGATTCCATCTTACCTCAGTAAGACTGGCTATGACCAAGGACTCAACAAATAACTAAAGCTGGAGGGGCCGTAGAGAAAATAAAATAAAGCTTTCTATATTGTTTGTGGGAATGTAAACTAGTACAAACTCCATGGAAATCAGTATAAAGATAGAAATTCCATTTGATCCAACTATTTCTCTTCTGGGTATCTTCCCAAAAGAGTTAAAGTCATCGAATTACAATTATGCATACATAGCTATGTTAATAGCAGCACAATTTACAACAGCTAAGTCATGGAAATGCCACATGTGGCCATCAACATGTGAATGAATAAAGAAAACGTGGTCTGTATACACAAGCAAGTACTACCCAGCCATAAAGAAGGATATGTTTAATGAATGTGTAGGAAAGTGGATGGATCGTGAGACCATAATCCTAAGTGAAACAACTCAAGCACAGAAGGATAAATATCACGTGGTTTCTCTTATATGAGAAACCCAATGTCTACATGATTTTAAGTGTAAAATGAAAGAAGGAAAGAAATGGAGGTAGAATTTGTGGAGATGGGAAAGTATCTAAGAATGGAGGGGAAAGAGAGAGGGTAAAAATGATCAAAATGCAAAATGCATGTGTAGCAGTTCCCCAAGATTAATGTAATTATCATGTACTGCAAAGAGTAACAATAAAAATAAATAAATAAGATACATGAAGAAAATCTTTGAGCATTTCTGTAGACACCAAAGTTCACAGAAGGACAAAATGAAGTCAGAAATGAGAAAGAATTCACTCAATAAGGTGAAAGGCTGCTGTTGAGTCACATGCGTATAAGGCTCCTAAAATCAAGTTACACAATATCACCTTAAAAAGGAGCAAATGATTAAGGATTTCCCATCATCCCATCATTTAGGTAATAAACTAAAGATATTATGAAATGAAACATCAGTTAAGAATTCATCTGCATCTTTGACTTCATTGCTAAGGGAGTATAATGGTAATTAGTATCGTGCAGTATGACATTTATGTATCATTGGAGTTTAACCCAAAAATTCTGCACAGTAACCATTTTGCTTTCTTATATTGAATTTTTGATCTTCTGATTTCATTCTTCTAGGTAAAATCCTTGCTCAGTTTTCCAGAGAGGTAGATTCATGAGGTGAGGTCTGCTGACATATGTGAGGACTATAAATTGAAAGAGTCCTTCCCTGACTATGTGTTCTAGTCACTAGACCACACTCCTCCCTGCCCACGGGCAAGCCCCAGGTGCCCAACAATTTCACTAATCATCTCCTCCTCATGTCTCTCAGGACTGTGCCTCCCCCATACTAAGGAGGAATCTGACCAGGGTAACTAATATCTGCTCTTTTCGCTTTAGTCTCTCGCTCAGACTCTGCCACTCCCCGTGTATTGATCTGTAACTCCGGGTCTTTAATTAATTGCTAATGGAAAGAAAGTCCCTCCCATTGTATGCGTATAGATGTGCCCGGTCTCTAGACTGCTGGCATTTCACTTATGATGTGTCCCACTCTCCTGCAACCACCTTGAGAGTAATGTGTCCTTTCCTATCTGGCTTCATCATAGACTGAGTTCAAGCCCTGCCCTGTGCTTGATAAACACTGATTAGTAGATGAAGAACAGAACTGTGATGCCAGGGGGCAGGCTCAGTTGTAACTGTAAAAGATAAATTTCTAAAAGTGTGTTTGAGGCAAATTTAATCTTTAAATTTGAATATTATGACTCATGGTGGTTACATATTTGATAATTTATTATTCTATCATAGAAGGTGATATTTATGAGAATTTATTCTGCCATTTTCCTCTTTTTGATTCTTTTTGTTTTATAATTCTCATACATACAGTTCTGCATTCTTCTAAATATCGTAATATTTCAATTTTCCTTGTCCTTTGTTGTTGATGGGCTATTTTTATTATGCTTTCCTCTGTAATAATTGTTCATTTTTTATTGATTCTCTTTTTATTCAAGAATGTTAATCAACATCATTTAGTCTGACATAGCACAGTGGGCGCATAAAAAATTTTAAGATATTAAAATATTCCAACTTTCTGGTCAAAAAATAAAAAAATAAAAATGTGAGTGTCTTTCATTAAAGGCATTAAATGAAATAGGGATAATATTTATAATAGAAGAACTTTACCTGCTGAAGTTGGCTCTTCTTCATCTGATGCTGCTCAGGGAAAAGGGGTAAAGGGACAGAGTATGGGGAGGGAGAGAGAAAGGGAGGGAAAGGAGAGAGGGAGAGATGGAGAGGGGAGGCAGGGAGGGAAAAGGGCAGAGAGAGAGAGGGAGGGAGAGGGAGGAGAGAGGAGAGAGAGAGAGATACTGAATATAAAAGTTTCACATTTATAATCATCACAATTCCCTAACTAGTAAGTTTTTGCATACATTAGATTTCTTTCATTATCTGGAGATAGATTCATGAATATTTACATTTATTTGAAAATAATAAGTAAAAAAATACAGTATATTCTCATTCTTTAAGATGTGCTTTTTTCAAATGAGACAATCATGCCATCTGTGTTGGAATTTCCTTTTCTTTTTATATACAACTCGTCTTCTTAAATTCCCATAATAATGAACAATGTTAATTAAATGTAAATTGCATATGACACACATGTACTCCAGGGTCAATTTTCTATTAACATGGAGGGATTTAAAGCTATTCCCAGGGGTTGAAGCTTTTCTTCTTTGAGATAGAATTTATAAGATAGATGTTGCTAAATTTCACAGTGAGTCAGTCACGTTTTTATTAAATGTGAAGATTCTAATACATACACCCTCTCTTTTTCTTTCTTCTCAGTCTTTCCTGTTCTCTCTCTCTCTCTCACACACACACACACACACACACACACACACACACACATTACCTCACCTGTACTGCAATCTTCAAGAATTCAGTAATGATTTTCATTCTGTGCTAAGGACACAGGAATGCACATATGCACATTTTAAAGGATGACTACAGAAGGCTTTGACTCATGCATTCTGCAGCTCACTCTTGAATAAACATGGATATTACAAACCAGATGCCAAGATATGAAAATATAATTATGTCCTACTACAGCAGCTCTTGGTCCTGGATACTCATTGGAATGTCAAATTCTGGGTTTTACCTCAAACCAAACAAGTCAGAATCTCTATAAGCAGTACTAGTTAGGATTGAGACATTACTAAGTAATATCAACATAAGGTAACATTAACTGTAACTTGTCAAAGTGTGGATCGTGTTGATTCCTGTTTTAAAGGCGATGTTTGAGAGCAGCAAGGCTCCTAGGGCAAAAGCCCACTGCTGAGTGAGAGGGAAGCCTGTTGCTTAGAAAAATGTAAAACAGAGCTTATCTGTGTAGCTTCATGATTTTGCCCAGAATTTACCTATTCACCTTTCCTCTTCCAGACACACTCTCATATCTGTTCAGTGCACAACTGCGGTTCACCCAGAATATTTCTGGTGAATTACATGACACAAGCCTGAACTCCTTCACTTGATCCAGGGTTTTAAAATGAACAGTGACTTAGCTGACTTGCTTATAAATGGGCACTGCTCCCATCTTATGTGTTAATGGGGGAACCTGTTAGCCTGTGAGGTAGGGCACATCTGCAAAGAGAACACCCTAGACAAGCTCATGGTGTCCAGCTGCATTTTCCTCTCCACTCTCTGATATCTCTCCTTGGCACACAAAGAACTAAAGAGAGCAAACACAGTTGTTACACATGGTGTGAGGAGCATAAATATTTTTAAAAGCTGTTTGCTGTTTTATCATGTCCAAAATATATTGTAGCATGTTCAAAGAGAAAAGTTCTGTCTTCCAGAAATTTCCCTTTTAAGGAAATGGCAAAAAGATTTGAAGAAATGCTGAGTTAGCTAGGTTATCAAAGTCTGGAGATTCAGAATGGAAAAAATGCTTCTGGCTGATGACTTTATGTGTGAGAACACATTTAGTTCACAAAGCAAGCATGGGATGAAAATTAATAGAAGTTACAGAGGTTTGGAGTAACTTCAAGACCTGAGTTCATTCGAATTTGAGGTGATTGATATCAGTTTGATTTTAAAACCAAACTTTCTTGTTAATCCTTACTGTCCAATAAAGGACTGACCGAGGGTACTCTTAAAGAGAAAGTGAACAGCGAGGTGACAATACATATTGAAATGTGATCACTACCCTTTGCAATGAATGATATTCTTGTTTAGAAACTTCCCGTGTCTCTTATAATGTAGGGTAGAAACAGGCAGGTGAGATCTTAACTATGGATTTTAAAATGTCTACCCTGATGACATCTAAGGAAAAGAGATCGGCAGCACCAAGATCTCACCCGTCCATTATGAGTACATAAGAACTCTCAAGACACACCTAGCAAGCACAAAATACAATTTTAATTGTACAGGAGCCACAGCAATTAGATTGAATTCCAATCCTACAGGGCATGCAGGTCACTAGCCCATACCAGAGCTTGCTTTCCTGAAAGCTTCTTGGTAATCAGTTCACACTGCAGTCAGCCCACACACGATTTTGCATAGAGTTCTATTTCTAAGCAAAATCTCCTTACTAATGCTTCCTCATAAATTTAGATGTCATTAACCAATAGGTATCTCACGAAAACACACAATACTCAAAGTTTGGGAATGGCACTAATTCACTGTTCGAGTTATCTGTGTGGCAAAGCCAACCTCTAGGCTCTCTGTATTGTTGAATAAAATGTCAGGAAGTGTTAAAAGAGGGCAACTAGAGCTTCAAAGTAAAACTAAACGTCAAAGTGGGCATTAGTGGTCTACAAAATGATATTTCAGTGAATAAGCTATCTCAGAAGGTACTGGTGGTACTACCCAAATGATTCTTCACTCTGTTTGCTTCTTAGAAGTGGTGAAATCAATGATTTAACAAAATTCTGAGTCTGCACTACATTCGGACTCCCTCAGTTCTGGAAACTGCAGCACAGCCAACCAAGTAAAACACAAATAACCTATGAAACAAAACGATTGTTTTGTTCTACCAACTCAGCATGTGTAAGGACTTAATAAACTGACTGTGATGGTGCGAGAACAGTAAAGAAATGCACTGAGGTACAGGATTTAACTGAGTAAACTACTTCAACCATCCATAATAGAATCTCTCTGTGTGTTTGTTAAAATGTTTCAGATATACTGAATTTGAATTTTGAGTATTTGTTAGCCCACGCTTCCACATTTGTAAAAATCTGTCCTGGTGAAGGTTATGAAGGCTAAATGTTAAGGACTGGGGTTACAGCCTACCAAAGTCTGTTTCACAGGGAAAGGCCATGGGTCCTGTCCTTGGAGCTATGGAAAAAAATCTGTAGGCTTATTGGAAACCCTTTACAATTGTATTCTGTGATTGCCTAACCAACTTTCATTGCTCTTTGCCCTGAAGGAGCTTCAGATGTTATTGCATACCTGTTTTAGTGTTTTGGGAGAAGACAATTCTCTCTTTGATTTAAAGTGATCTGTATCTCAGAACTAACTAAATCTGTTCCCTATCATAGGGCTCAGTCATTGGTCTAGGTATTAATGTGAACTTATTCATTAGTATTTCTAAGAAGACTGCTTCCCTCTCAGATACCAAAGTCTGTGTAAGCTGAAGACTCCTGCACAAAATGACATAATATTTACATATAACATAGGTCAACCGTTGGTATACTTCAACTCATCTGTAGATTATTTCTGTCACCTTGTACAATAAAAATGCTATGTAAATAGTTGCTATATATTGTTTAGGAAATAATGACCAAAAAATTCTGTACATATTCAGTTTAGTAGCGATTTATTTTCTAACTGGAGTTGACTGAGCTCACGTATGCCAACTCCAGAGACACAAAAGAGGTTCAGGAGTGTCCTTCCTTGGCGACAAGGGTACTTAAGGTAAGGTTACTGTGTTTGGATGGGGTGGAATTGAAACCAAGACAGCCTCATCGTCCTGAGAAAATGTCTAGAAATAACACCTCTCTCTCATTTTTTTAGGAGAGACAAATATCTTGTAGCCTGGAGGTAGCTGGCACACATCTTGTAATTGTGATAGGAGCCAGCTTTGAAAGAATAAAATTAGATTGCTGCTAACACTGCTGAGCCACTGACCCTATGAACAATGAGTTCTTCCCTACCCCTGATCGTCTTGTTCTAAGGAAAAATATACTCACTCTGTTGTGTAGGTAGTGTGAACTGGGTTTCCTGTTATTTGGAAGTACTATAAGTGGTGTTCTGCAACAACTCGAATCAGTTTTGTTGTTCCATTTAAACTATATTAGGATGCGTACGAAATTGATTATTTGAGGCAGCTGAGACCAAAAGTACATACAGCCTCGGGCTGTGATTTCAGAGGACAACTGGAAGGTCACTCCTTTCTTCTCAGCTGAGTGCATCACTACAGTTTGATACAATAAAATAATTCCTTTGATTCAGAAGTTGAACACTGTGTGCCAAAGTGGAGTGGGAAGTGGGAAGGGGCTTGGAAGAAGAAAGAAAAAGTATCATGCAGACTTGTCTTCTCTCCCTCCATTTCTCCCCTGCTGTCTTTCCCTATTTTTCTGTAGGAACCAACTATGAGGTAAGTAAGGGCTTATGTCCAGTAAGCTACACATTGCCCTGGCCTACATCTGACATGAAAGTATATGCTCATCATCTCTGGACATGTCTCTTTCAGTTCTCAACAGTCCTAACATATTCTGAATTTTCTCTTTATGGTTGGGTGCTTTAAGTATGCTTTTATAACTTGGATACTGCACATATTAAAGTAATCTGTACCCAGTGTAGCTTATCATAAAATAGGGAATGTTATGAAATATAAAATATACATTTCTTAGCATATTGTGAGTATTACTTGATTCAGTCATTTACTGTTAATTTTGCTGAATATATCGTAAATTTAGTTAATTATGTACCAAATATGCTTCCAAGTATAGTATTATTTATGTAATTATTTCCGTAAACAAAGCAACAGAAATGTGTTACTGTACTCTGACAAATACTTTAGAATGTTTTTATTCAGCTGCATTATAGTGAAAATAATGATGATGATATTTATGCCTGGTTATTTATGCCTATCCAGATGTTAAATGCTGCGTGTGCGCATGTGTGTTTGTGGTAATATCAAGACAAAGAAGAGTAAACATTCATTTCAAATTCATGAACTCAGTCATTAAAGTACTTGTACTTGCACA